TATGTGTACTCTTAAGTTTTACTCACACTCTTAAATTTTTGATATAGACATTTCTCTTAAAACACACATGACGACAATAGTCTATCATTATATTATTTATCATATCAGAGAGTAGAATTTAGGAGTACATGTAAGCATATGATATAACTCATCTAGGTAGCACTCATCATGAAATATTAGTTGTAACGAAGGACAAATTAAAGTACTTGATGAAGCTAGCTAGAGGATATAAAAGGCACAGCTAGAAGTGTTTGACAATAACGCAAAGAAAGTAGAATGTGGAGCCTATTAAAGTAAGCTTTTAAGAAGCAACACACATGGCACGATGGCAGCACACAGGACGAAATAGTTCCACTATCTGTACGCTAACTCTTTTTTTGTTTTCTTAACCAATCAATTATTGGTGAAATATAATTAAAAATGATGGGGTAAATATGAGGTCTGGTTGATTGGAAGAGACTCATTTATCTTTAATCAAAAGTTAATGGTTTGATCTTTAGTTTTGAGTATGGAGCATAGCAGTTAGGCAGTTATCCGACTCAAAAGAGGTACTTACAATTCAGCGCAAGTAAAAAATTTTATTACGAGAAGACATACAATATGTGGGATACAGGACATACTATACAATCCACAATTCAGCGAGTAAAATTTTTATTACGAGAACATACAATATGTGGGATACAGGGCATACAACACAGTACTACCATTCAAGAGGCAACACAGTTAGTACTACCGTTCAAGATGCAACATTATGGTTAGAGATCAATATCATTTCCGCTCCTATTATTACGAGGTTAGGTTTCTGATAATTAAATTTTTATTAAATCAATGTTAGACTATATTTATATCAAATTAATATATTTTAACAAATGGATGTATCGTGTTTGTTTAGTATTAGAATGGAAATAAAAATTAAAAAATAATATATAAAAGAAACATTGACCCTTCATTGTTACTCCTCAATGAAGGAGCTTTGCGGAAAGAAACCGAAACCTAATTAAGTTTTCAAAGTTATCAATCCTTCGGCTTTAGTTGTTTCCGATTCCTATTCATGGATCCTAAAATTTCGTTACAAACTTTAAGGATAGAATTAATTAAGAACTTTTATTCTCTATTTTCGGTTTTTAAATTTTAAATGGTAAGTAATTCAATCAAACACGTACAGATAAATGACGAAAGTAACTATGATCCAGCTCCTTATAAGGTAGTCAAATGCATCGGCATGTAATTAGTGATGCGCACATAAATGGACTAATTGTGTAAATTTAGTCTCAAAATTATTAACTATATATGTAGATCTGATCTAGCTTTCCTAATAAAGTGACGCTTTTGATTTAACGAAATTTCACTGCACAAATTTGTCGCCTTTTTAATGTCACTAATACAATTCTTGCCAACACGGCAACACCATTTTAATCTAGCCGTTGCACAAGGTCTTCTTGGTGTGGTTATTTTTATCTCCTGTGTTGTTTGCATACTATTACACAAGAGGAGGCTAGTTTATCACATCCTTAAATAGTTGCTGTGAGATTTCACTGATCGCCATCAAATAATAATAATAATAATAATAATAATAATAATAATAATAATAATAATAATCTGTCACCTCACTACAAATTTAAATAGTAAAAATGTTATTTTTTCAGTTAACTATCACTTCGAAATAAAATAAAGCATGGTTTCGTTAAAAAAGAAAAAAGTCCACGTTACGGAAGTTGTGTTTTGTTAGTGGAGCTTATTATTTACGGAAGTTGTGTTTTGTAAAGTACGTAACCACATACATCACCAATGTATTATTATTATTATTATTATTATTATTATTATTATTATAAATTCAAATCAACAAAACATATTGATATGGCCTTCTAATCATTAACCTGAAAGTTACTTGTAAAAACATGTCGAATTGGACTAATTACACTTTTTTTTTTCTAAATTCTGGTATTTAAATGAAGTTTTTTCTCAGCAATTATACTGGAGACCACGGTTCACAAAGCTTTGTGGACCATGGTCCAAAAACGGCGTCGTTTCTTTAAGTAAATAAACGGGAGCCAATAGAGCTTAATGGAGCGCATATTTTTTGTGTATTAATTACCAAATGAAACTACAATGTATCTAAACTGACACTGCGTCACGTATTATTTTTATATTATCAAATGAAACTGTAATTGAATTGAAATGAAACTGTAGTTGTGTTGAAATGAAACTGCAGTGTATACAAAATGAAACTGAATAACAATTTCACATATTTGAGTGTATATTGTCCAGCGAAACTGTTATATTAAAATGATATTGTAATTGTGTTGAAATGAAACTGCAATGTATATAAAATGAAACTGAATAACATTTCACATATTTGAGTGTATAATATCGAATGAAACTGTAGTTATATCGAAATGAAACTGTAGTTGTGTTCAAATGAAACTGCACTATATACAAAATGAAACTGGATATATTATGCAATCAAAGTTACTTTTTGCGGACGGCGCAGAATAGGTGTCGTTTCTGTTCATTAAAAGAAACTACAACATTTTGATGTTTGGACCACAATGCATTGTGGACCGCGATCCACAATATAATTTGCTGTTTTTTCTAGTTCGGTGATTTAATTGCAATAGTTCAAGAGTTTATTTTGCTTTATCACTTATTATTATTATTATTATTATTATTATTATTATTATTTTTGGGTACACAGTTGTGATGCGATTGCCTAGCGTCCTCCGTCAACTAACCGGGACGACCAAGGTGAGTTGTCCATTTGCTTCCGCCATTAGTTTTTTACTTCCCAACTCATCCCCCATAAACAAACAATTATTGTCAAATATTTGGTTATTAAATATGGACCGCTTCCAATTAAACTAATTGTTTTTTGCGTAAATTAAATTGTGACAAAATTAATTAATTTACATATTTTATATATAGAACTACTAGTAGAGTAGTAGTCCCATGAAAACGTGCATACTGATCTTATCTGTCTATATTTATGATAATCAATGATTGAAAATTAAGGGACAAATAAAAAAAAAATATGGCGACATTTTCGTAATTAAAACAGTGCATTTAAAAACGCTTAATAGTGCATCCACATATAATTAATAGTGTACACGCGTGAGTACACTCAGTTATCCACAGATACATCATCAAGTGTTTCTAAATAAACCGTCGTAATTACTTAAAAATGTCACCCCATTTTTCTCTTAATTTTAAATTTTAATTTTGATCATTATAGATTAACAAATCAGATTAGTCTGCATGTTCTCATAAAACTACTAGTTCTCACCTGAGCATAGTCATATCCCTGTGTGTGTGCATCCCACACGCACGCACGTGCATGCGTGTGTACATGCTAATGCAAAGGATATTTATATCTTTTAAATAGTTATCTCATTTCTATTTTTTAAAGTAACCAAACTTTGTAATATTATTTCTTAAGTTTATTTGTTCATGAACTAAAAAATATAATAGAATTATTATTATTCTGTTCGTTTAAAAAAAAAAAAAAAATTCATGACATGAACCAAACGTATTGTAAAATCTTTTGTGCATAGCGTAGATTTAATCTCTCATTATAAAATATCAAAATGATTTTATAAGAATAATAATTTTACCATTTTAACTATACGATTTTTAATTTCGTTGAATAATATTCTTTACTGTTACATGCATTTGTAAAAATTTGGAGTGAAAAAATAATACTTCTAATGAACTAAAATAAGTATACATTTGATGATTGCCGATATTATTGGACAAAATTAAAAGTTAAAATTTACTCAATACAATTTTTTTTTTTCGAAATTACTCATACAAATTTAGTTTATATGTTTTTTGTGGAAGTGGTGCATTTGGTTCTTATTAAAATCCTAACATCAAGTTAAATCTACCACTCCCTTACCAACATAGAAAGTAAATCTACATTAACAACAATTGAAAAATTAGATTTATGCCATAATTGACTAAAATACATATTTTCTCCATCCAATTTTATATGTCTAGTTTGGTTAATGAGATTTGACTAGTTAAAGTTGTTTTTTATTCAAATTTTCACAATATTAAGTATTAGTATATAAAATTTATATATTTCGAATATACATTAAAAGTATTATTAAACATAATAAATTAAATTTAAAAATAATAAAGAAAATAAGTTAAGAAAAAATAATTGATTTGATTAATGAATGGTAAACAAAACAGGTAAAATGTGGTTGTGGAAATAATAATTTAACAAAGTGCTACTCCATATATGCATCAAATAATTGTAACATCGATCTATTAGTGTTATGTGAGACTATTTCATGTGAAACATATTTTAAATATATAAAAATGTAATGCATCTTTATGTGTCATCTAGTGAATATATTTTTATTAAAAAATATTACTATCTCAGTCTCATTTTATGTGTCTGGTTCGGTTAACGCGGCTTGATTGAAGTTATTTTTAATTTAATTTTTATAATATTAAGTTTAGTATTAGTATACAAAATTTATATATTTAGAAACTACACTAAAAGTACTATTAAACACAAAAAATTAAATTTAAAAATAATAAAATATACTAAAGAAAATAAACAAATAAGAAAGAATTGGTTTGACCAATAAATAGTAAATAGGACAAATAAAATGAAAAAGAGAGAGTATATATTTGCTGATTCTCTTCAAAGAACAAGAGATACTTTTTTTATGAGAATGTAATTCTTGTTAATATATAAAATAGTATTATATTTTTGCTAAAACGTATTTATTATATATTTGATGAGTTCTATTACATGCACTCCCAAATTATACTTTCATTTGTACTCTCGGAGTGGCAAATTAGGATTGATTATTTTCATCATGTGAATCCACAGACAAATGTTTACATAAAAAATATGTAGGAGTACAAATTGGGAGTACACTAAGTATTTTCTATATTTGATATATGTCTGATAGTGATGTGAAACGATTTGATACAAAATTTTGGGAAAACAATTTGTCATTTGGTTAATAAAGCTCTTAAATATTTGAAAATATGAAGTTGCTGGAGAAATTATTGATAGTGTCATTTGCGTGAGTGCGACTTTTCTTGTGACCCAACCAACCAAACAGAGCTTCAACCGTTGAACGTTTCCTTCATGATTCAACCAAAACCCCAATGCAGAAGAACCTTCATAATAAGACCTTTCACGAAATTCAAACTCTTCAACTTAGTTGACAACTCTCCTTCGAGAAGATTTGCAGTTGAGATTCTCCTTCTTCGTCTTCTCCGAGATCTTGAAGCAGAAAGAGAAATCACGCAACAGAGATTCGTCACAGTGATAATAAGAAGAAGACGATGACGTTTCGCCAGGGTAATAAGTTGAAGCGATGGGGTTTGGATCTCGATCGGAGGATACTGTTGCTGATTCTCTTCCCAATCTCGCTCCTGCTCATCGCTTCGCTCTCTCCGTTCTCCTACGCCGCCGTGATCGCCCCCCTGCGCTCGATCCTCGGCGGCTTCGCCTCGCCGCTAGCGGCAGGGAGGTCGGCGGAGTTGAACCGCTCCAGGATCGCCGTTTGCTTGGTAGGTGGGGCTCGGAGGTTCGAGCTCACCGGCCCCTCCATTATCCAGAGGATTCTCAGAGTGTATCCGAATTCCGACCTCTTCCTTCACAGTCCTTTGGATTCGAATGCGTACAAGCTCTCCCTCCTCCGTGCCGCTCCTAGAATCGCCGCCGTGAAAATCTTCAAGCCTACGCCGATCGACGAGACCGAGACACAAACCCGAGTTCTCACCGCGGCGAACTCGCCCAATGGCATTCAGGTATTATTATTTAATTATAATAATTTTATAATTTCTTATACGAATTAAAATTGATTAATAATCAATAAATAAATTAGCATATTAAATTTTTAACCAAAAAATTGGTAAATAAATATGGCTCTTGCCGTCCTACCATTAATTTTTAGGCGGGTTTATAGTTTAAACGGCATAGTTTCATAAATAGAAAATATACATAGTTTATTAATGAAAGTTAATAAAAAGGAGTAAATAAATTTAAATTCGTATTTATTGCATTTTTCTTATAAACGTATTTATTGCATTTTTTTTATAAACGTATTTATTGCATTTAAACAAAAAGATAACGTACATTTATTATCGCCCCAAAATAGTCAAATTAATCTTTTATTCAATTTCTAAGGTATCGATTTATACGGTATAACTCAAAGTCAATGGATAGAGTTATAAATTTAATTTGTAGACTATAAAATATTGCGTCTTCATAATATTTAATTACTCGTGCAAATAAAAAGTTATTTTAAAGATGTTTTAGTACATTTTAAAGTTTTTATCACAACTTTTTGACATGTAATCAGTATGATATCACTAATCACACAGATTTTTTTTTAATATTCTCTATGTTCTGGGTTCGACTAACATGATTTAATTAAAGTTATTTATAATATTAAGTTTAATATTAGTATGTTTTTATTTAATATTAGTATATAAATTTTATATATTTAAAATTATATTAAAATACTATAAACATAAAATAAAATTTAAAAATTATTAAAAAATAAACAAAAAAAATTTAATTCAATCATCAATCAATAAATAATAAATGTGAATGAATGAATATTTTAATAAAAATCAGTAAAACAATTTTTTTTTAAAATAAAAATAGTGGTACTATATGTTTGTCAGGCGGGACCTATTTTCGTAAAACTACAACTAAGTCAAAAGTTTATTTCAAAATGGCAATAAATTGCTTTTGTACTATGGCATTTAAAGGATTGGTAGAACTATTTATTATTATGGAATTTATGGCAAAAATGTATGTGAGGTCGGGTCTAATATAAAGGTTTTATGTTTTTTTATATAATAAATATTTTATTTTTAATTTAATATTGCATTTATTAATATAAACATGTTGATTTCACTTGGCTTTAACTCGTCTGGGATCCGTGAGACGTGAAACACATTTATTATTTATTTTTGGAATTTTGGTTGCCGACTCTATAAGGAAATGCACAAGATTGGGGGATTGGTGAGCGCGTTGATTAGTAGCTTCTAGCGATTGGGACACATGTCGGTTATCCGTTTGGCTGGTGGAACGGGGCAACCACTAACGAATTAAACTAATTAATAACTATCATTTCATTTCTCACCTGCTGTACTACATGCGTTAAATAACCTACCTACTTAGATACAATTTCCTCATATTATTTCATAATTAACATACGAATTTCCTACATTGTCAGTAGTTATGACTAAAATCATATACACTGTTTTGAGAAAAGTATCAAATAGACTTCCATCTATATATATAAATGCAATTCAACTATCGAATTAAAAAAAAAAAAAGTTTTTAATTGAACTATTAAAATTGTGCTAGTAATTCATTTTGATTTGTCATAATTTATACTTTTAAGTCAACTATCATGTAAAATGTCAAATATATTTGTTTGAAATTTTTTATTAAAAAAAACATGTCATTGACTTATTTGTCCATGTCAATATAAATGGAGACGATATCTTTTTTGTACAAATTGATATCTACGAAGAAGCTTTGGCAGGCTTCTTTGTTCAAATTCTAATTGAACGAAGAAGTCTTTGATTTCTTTGTCTAAATCAAACGAAGAAGTTGGTGGCTTCTCCATCCGATTTGAATTAAACAACTGGTGTTAACATTTTTTTTAATGGATGTCACATCAAATGTCATATAACTAAAATTAACAAATAAAAATAACATGTTTAAAATGTTCTTTTTAGTATTAGGTTTGAGTCACTGACCTCCCATTTGGAAGAAGTGCAGAGGTGTTATTGAATTATAAGCTACTTGACATATTTAAAAGGTTAATTGAATAATTTTAACAAGTTCAATGATTCCATTAGAATTTGTTTATAGTCTATTCGTATTTTAAGATATAGTTGGATGACCTATTTAACTCTAATCTTTATCATTTTTTGTTATATCAGTATTATTCTTTTCAAACTTCACCCCTATGATCAGTTGAGCTGCTCATGCTGGTTATATCTAATATTATTGACATTATAGATTAATGTTTTGTTTTCCCATTTGTGTTTATACAGGGCTTATTACAGTATTTCAATTTGGTAGAAGGTTGTTTGACGATGATTCAAGACCACCAACTCAAAAATAACTTCACTTACGATTGGATTATCCGGACCCGAGTGGACGGATATTGGTCTGGAAACCTCAAGCCGGAGCACTTTATTCCGGGCCGGTATGTCGTACCATCCGGTTCATCATACGGTGGATTGAACGATCGTTTTGGCGCCGGCGACTTCAACACCTCAGTGGTGGCTCTCTCCCGGCTGTCCCTGATCCCCCAGCTTGACGCCGGAGGATATGCGCTCCTCAACTCGGAATCCGCGTTCAAGGCCCAACTGACGACCCAAAAGGTTTCCTACTCGACCCACCGCCTCCCATTCTGCGTGGTAACGGACCGCAAATACGAATTCCCTCCGGCGAGTTTCGGCGTTCCAGTGGCGGCCATTTCTAGCCGCGGCCCTTTAAGCGGCGCGAAATGCCGGCCGTGCACGCCGTCGTGCACGGGGTCGTGCGTCGCCTCGGTTATGAGCGCGATGGACCGAGGATGGAGCTGGACCGATTGGGGCGACGACACGTTGGAGCTCTGCGATGCTCATGCGGACTGGGAGAAGGGCTGGGAGAGACTCTTTGACCAGACCGCCGGTAAGAAGTTGGGTTCCGCTCGGCGGCGAGTGAAGAGCTTGAGTTTTGGACAATGCGTTAACGACTTTGAGGTGATGAAGGAGAAAACGGCGTCGTGGGTTGCTCCTCCCGGGACCGAGATTTGTCAACTCGGCGGCTTAAGATCCGTTTAACACTGTTATTATTATATATTGTACAGTGATATATATGATGGGCCGAACTCTTTTATTCTTTTTACAAAAAATGAAGTTTTGTAGAGTTCGGAAATTACTTCTTTCCCTAGCTCGATCATATTCATCATGTATACAAAGGAAGGCAAGTGGTTAAGTAGAGTAGCTACTAGCTAGTCATGAATCCAGATAAATGGGTTTTATGGCTGCAATTCTATTCGATCTGGATGCTTGCTGTAGCTATTTTTTTGGTTTGAAGATGGTTTTTAGCTAGTTTCAATGGATTTAAGGCTATAAATTAAATTTGGATGATGTAGCATGTTGTCACTATCTGATGGGATATCGGATAAATCATACTCTAAATTTCACTAAAAAATTTTATATGATAAACTCAACTGAGTTACTATCTAGATACAAGAATCATGTTTCACTATTGGCCTAGGGCAATTGAAGACTGTAAATTTATGGTATTTATGTTTGCTGTTTAATTTGCTTTGTAAAGGTCTGCCATTCATGTTTGGACTTTTTTTTTTTTTTTTTTTTTTAAATGGGCTTTTCACTAGTTAAGTTGGTTTTCTTTTTAGGTTCAATTGTTAGGCCTATTATAGACCTTTCCAATCGTTATACGTGGACCCGTGTCCAGTATGCGGAACGTTATGCCATGGAAATGTGTTCACCATTTATGGTGAACACGGTTCCAACGGTGTTAGTACACCGTTATTTTCTTTTTCTTAATTAATTGCGTGACTTTTCTTCTTCATTTTCATATTTTGCGGTTTCACTTTAATTTGAGGTGAACAATGATTTCGGACATTCATAAATTATGAATTCATGCCTGCACATTCACTTTGGAACCATGCCTACACATTCCTGTCCGAAATCACGGACATTCATAAATTATGAATCCATGCCTGCACATTCACTTTGGAACCATGCCTACACATTCACTTTGGAACCATGAGATTATGAATTTTCTGTTATAAGATTATGAATTTTCAGTTATGAGATTATGAATTTTCTGTTATGAGATTATGAATTTTCTGTGAGTAAAAGACATTTTTGGTCCTAGACTTATAGAGGCTTGGACAATTTTAGTCCTTTATAAAAAAATTTGCCATTTTATGGACAGAGTTATTGTGGCGAGGACATTTTTGGTCCTCCGTCTATATTTCTGTTAGATAACCGTATGAAAGAGGGGCAATTATGTCAATTTAGGCTATCTCTTTATTGTGAGATGGACGATTTTGGTCCCACAACCATGCCTTTACCCTGACCCTCATTTATTTGTAGTTTTGCACTACGAAATGCTCTGCCCACAACCATGCCTTTACTGCAACTTGGACTCTCCGACTCCTTCGAATTATGACTGAGAAGAAAACAAAACAGACATAGATATAATAGATAGAAGGAGATAGCCTAAATTGACGTAATTACCCCTCTCTCAGACGGTTATCTAACAAAAATATAGACGGAGGACCAAAAATTGTCCTCGCCACAATAACTCTGTCCATAAAATGGCAATTTTTTTTTATAAAGGACTAAAATTGTCCAAGCCACTATAAGTCTAGGACCAAAAATGTCTTTTACTCATTTTCTGTTATGTGATTATGAATTTTCTGTTATGCGATTATGAATTTTTTGCGGTTTCACTTTAATTTGAAGTGAACAATGATTTCGGACATTCATAAATTATGAATTCATGCCTGCACATTCACTTTGGAACCATGCCTACACATTCCCGTCCGAAATCATGGACATTCATAAATTATGAAAATCCATGCCTGCACATTCACTTTGGAACCATGCCTAGACATTCACTTTGGAACCATGAGATTATGAATTTTCTGTTATAAGATTATGAATTTTCAGTTATGAGATTATGAATTTTCTGTTATGAGATTATGAATTTTCTGTTATGCGATTATGAATTTTCTGTTATGAGATTATGAATTTTATGAAAATTCATAATCTCATAAAAGAAAATTCATAATTTGATCAACGCGCGCCGTTAACTCCACATCCGCGATTTTTTTTTTTTTTTTTTTGCCTAAAAACAACGTCGTTTGGCCTTGTGTTCACCATTCACGGTGAACACGTTTCCAGGGCATAATTTGCCCCAGCATGCATGCTGGACACGGCACTGTTATCTCCTTTTTTTTTTTTTTTTTTTTTTAATTTCAGACCGCTTCGTTATATGAGTATATGTTCATAATTTTATTACTATATGTTAATAACTGTACATTCATAACTCCATAACTGTACGTTCATAACTCTATAAATGTACATTCATAACTCTATAACTGTACATTCATAACTCCATAACTGTACATTCATAACTCCATAACTGTACATTCATAATTTTCGAAGCTCTATGTTCACAACTTTAGAGCTCTATGTTCATAATTTTATCACTATATGTTCATACTTGTAAGTCCATAATGTCAGAGCTCTTTGTTCATAATTCAATCAATAACTGTACATTCATAATTCCATAACTGTAGATTCATAATCTCATAACTGTAGATTCATAACTCCATAACTGTAGATTCATAACTCTATAACTGTACATTCATAACTCCATAACTGTACATTCATAATCTTCAAAGCTCTATATTCACAATTTTAAAGCTCCATGGTCATAAATTTTATCACTATATGTTCATAATTGTAAGTTCATAATGTTAGAGCTCTGTGTTCATAATTTCATAATTGCATAACTGTACATTCATAACGGCATAATTGTACATTCATAACGGCATAACTGTACATTCATAATCCAAAAAAAAATAACGCCGTTAACGGCAATGAAAGGGAAGCTTTATCGCCATTTCAAAGGCGTTAGCGCATACGTTAAACACTTCATATTGGCGGAAGTTGAACAAGAGCAAAAACCTTCTGTGTGTAAGAAGAAGAGCAACATCGAGTTTTTTAGGCAGGATATAGATCGAGCGCAATAAGCTACAGGGGGGAGTCTTTTGCGAAAAGAGCATCTCAAAGAAGGTCAGCGGGAGAGCCGACATGAAATGATAGATGTGCAGCGCATACTTTTTCCCCCTTTTTCTTCCCCGTCCAATATTTGTTACTTTCTCTGATAAGGGCTCGCTTCTTCAAGCTCCGCCCAACCTATACAAGGTGCTTACCTCATCCCCCCCTTGTCACTTAAAGGGCGAAGTCGCCGAAGCGAGTCTAAAGGCCAAAGAGTCATGTTTGAAGGCTACTATGCATCCTTAGTCTCGGTTTAGGTAGTTGATATTCATTCTGATGAATTCAGATGATGTTCAATTTATTGTTGCGAGCAACTTTTAATTTATTATGAGCCCAAACGATGGATTCAATAAGTTCTTGCCTATAACCACGTCCACTGAATAGAAACATGAAACTAAAAGCCCTTCATTTTCTTTCTTTTAGTTGTGGTTGCTTCCGCGCCAGCAAGCCACACCAACCCTATGCCACGCGATTTTTTTTTTTTTTTTTTTTAACTAAATGACGCGTTTTTTTTGAAAAACGACGTCGTTTTGGGCCCGTGTCCACAATTCATTGTGGACACGGGTCCAGGGCATAATTTGCCAGACCTTTCCCTCAGACCTTTTAATAGTAAGAGTTTTCTCATTTTGTCAGGTTACTCCCACACTGTCGCTACAAAGATTCGATCTTTGATTTCTTGTGACCAGTTGAGTTATTCATGCGTGCAACACATAATAGCCTCATTGGTGGTTGGTAAAGGTATTCCAAATCTGATAATAATTGGTTACGTTGTTTGTTAAAAATCGTTAGTTCATAGGGATGTGAGTTCGGTGTGCAATGCCTTAGCCTACCTTATTGGCGATCGGTAAAGGCATATAAAATCAAGTAAAAAAATTTCTATAGCCTTAATCTATTCCATACTTTGTGTAGAGATGCCCAATACAAACTCAAAACATTTTTCATTCACTTTTGAATTACTCCCGATATTGATTGGAGCCGTGGTCATGGCCCAAAGCAGATGGGGCCAATCGTTATGCCTTGGACCCGTGTCCAGCATGCTTGCTGGACACGGGTAACAGTGCCGTTAGGCACTGTTATCTCCTTTTTTTTTTTTTTTTTTTTTTTTTTTTTTTTTTATAAATTTCAGATCACTTTGTTATAGAAGTATATGTTCATAATTTTATTACTATATGTTAATAACTATACATTCATAACTTCATAACTGTACGTTCATAACTCTATAACTGTACATTCATAACTCTATAACTGTACATTCATAACGTCATAACTGTACATTCATAACTCCATAATTGTACATTCATAATTTTCGAAGCTCTATGTTCACAATTTTAGAGCTCTATGTTCATAATTTTATCACTATATGTTCATAATTGTAAGTTCATAATGTTAGAGCTCTTTGTTCATAATTCGATCAATAACTGTACATTCATAATTCCATAACTGTAGATTCATAATCTCATAACTGTAGATTCATAACTCCATAACTGTAGATTCATAACTCTATAACTGTACATTCATAATCTTCGAAGCTCTATATTCACAATTTTAAAGCTCCATATGGTCATAATTTTATCACTATATATGTTCATAATTGTAAGTTCATAATGTTAGAGCTCTGTGTTCATAATTTCATAATTGCATAACTGTACATTCATAACGGCATAACTGTACATTCATAACGGCATAACTGTACATTCATAATCAAAAAAAAAATAACGCCGTTAACGCCGTTAACGGCAAAACACGCGCGAATTTTTTTTTTTAACTAAATGACGCGTTTTTTTTAAAAAACGGCGTCGTTTTGGGCCCGTGTCCACAATTCAATGTGGACACGGGTCCAGAGCATAATTTGCCAGATGGGGCTGGCTTGGGGCAAATTATATCGTGCACCGCGGTGCCTAATCGATTATGCACCGAGCTTCAAAACGATGCCGTTTTGTTTAATGAAAAGAAACGGTACCCATTTCGCGCTGTTCCACAAAAAGTAACTCTGTTATTCAGTTTCATTTTGTATACACTCCAGTTTCAGTTCAACACAACTACAGTTTCATTTCGATATAACTACAGTTTCATTCGATATTTATACACTCAAATATGTGAAAATGTTACGGAGTATTTAATTTTATTTTATATACACTATAGTTTCATTAAAACACAACTACATGATCATTTCGATATAACTACAGCTTCATTGCACAATATACACTCAAATATGTGAAATGTTATTCAGTTTCATTTTATATACACTGCAGTTTCATTTCAACACAACTACAGTATCATTTTGATATAACTATAGTTTCACTGGGTAATATATACTCAAATATGTTAAATTGTTATTCAATTTCATTTTGTATACACTGCAGTTTCATTTCAATACAATTACAGTTTCGTTTCATTTCAATTGCATTTTCACTTGATAATATAAAAATAATGTGTGAGGCAATATCAATTTAGATACACTGTCATTTCAGTTGGTAATTAATACACCAAACTTGCACGCTCCGTTAATTATAACGTCGCATCGTTTCTTTACTTAAAGAAACGGCGCCATTTTTTACCGCGATAATTGCTGCTAGCTTGGAATTTGGGTCAATGGGCTCATATTTTGATTCTTTGTATTTATTCATTTATTTGTAGCCGATTACAACATATAAAAGCCTCCGAACCTTGTGAACATTATATTTTTATTTTTTCATATCATCCAATTTATGGTGGGTATGATCTATTAAAAACGATCAAATGTAAAATGTATTTGTTGGTTTCTAGACTTTTGGAAAGTCTACCGGGAGTCCAACATAACTAGAAAAGTTGATGAATCATTGGAAGATATGCATGGAAGATTTAGTATATATATCGTTCGCGGAAAAGTAGTACGTGTGTATATTTTGGTCCTTTGTACAGTGTCTTGAGAGGCTATATAGATGACGATTTGATTATTGAATATCAATCGTAACTGAGTCTGGTTTCTAGACTTTTGGAAAGTCTACCGGGAGTCCAACACAACTAGAAAAGTTGATGAACCATTGGAAAATATGCATGGAAGATTTAGTATATATATCGTTCGCTGAAAAGTAGTGTGTATATTTAGAAAGCTTGGTCCTTTGTACAGTGTCTTGAGAGGCTATATAGATGAGGATTTGATTATTGAATATCAATCGTAACTGAGTCGGTACAAACAAGGATATAGAGGATAGATAAAGAGTCCTAACGAACTACCAGTACAAGAGTCCTAATACTCCCCCTCAAACTCAAGGCGAGGCAGCCGCAACATTAAGTTTGTCTCGCAGGAAAGAAAACCGAGTAGACGGAAGAGCCTTGGTGAAAACGTCTGCCAGCTGATCCTTTGTAGAAATAAAGTGAACCTCAATCTCCTTCTTGGCTACCTTGTCACGAACGAAGTGGTAATCAATCTCCACATGCTTCGTCTGGGCATGAAACATCGGGTTTGAACACAGATAGGTGGCACCCAAGTTGTCACACCACAGAGTTGGCGCAGAAGCCGGCGGGAAACCAATTTCTCTAAGCAGCGAAACAAGCCACGTAACCTCAGCCGAGACATCGGCCAAGGCCTTGTATTCAGCCTCAGTAGAAGAACGCGCCACAGTGCGCTGCTTCCGACACGACCAGGAAACCAAATTGCTACCCACATAGACTGCAAAACCACTGGTAGACTTCCTATCATCCGGATTGCCAGCCCAATCCGAGTCAGAAAAAGCATGAACAGCAGAAGACAGAGACCTGCGAATACAGAGACCAAGACCAAGAGTACCTTTAACATACCGCAAGACACGCTTCATCAGACTCCAATAAACCGTGGTAGGAGACTGCATGTGCTGACAGAGCCTATTAACTGCATAAGACAAATCAGGGCGAGTCACAGTCAAATACTGCAACGCACCAGCTATACTGCGGTAGTGAGTGGGATCTGCGTAAGGATTAGTGTCAACATCATTAGAACGAACAACCGAAACCCAGTTTCAACTATATGCCAATGGCGACGTTCTACCCGACCATTCTGCTCATGCGTATACGAACAGGACTGCCTGTGACGGATACCAAGAGACTCAAAAGTATAGTGGAGCTTTTTGTACTCTCCCCCTAAATCAGACTAAATGGAAATTATTTTATGTGAAAATGAACGCTCAACAAGGGATCAAAAACGTTCAAAGATAGCATAGATATCGGTTTTTGCACGCATAGGATAAAACCAAACAAAACGCGTAAAATAAAACGAAGTAACGAAAACCATTAACAGATGTTATTGGCGCATGACCCCAAATATCAGTATAAATAAGTTCTAACACACGAGTACTAGAAGTAGCAACACGAGGTAAAGGAAAACGGGAAGATTTCCCTAACTGACAAGACAAACAAACATTTGACAATTCACTAGAATTAAATTGACCAACACCAGACAACTGCAAAATTTGACGCAAAACTCGTGTGTGTGGATGACCAAGCCGCTTGTGCCAAGTAGAAGATGACGCACGCGCAGCAACATTAGCAGACAGACTACGACAGGAAACAGGCCAAGTATATAAACCGCCCGACGCGCCCCCCTTAAAAAGCACCTCCTTGATCAAGAGATCCTTCACAAGAAAATATTCAGAATGAAACTCAAAAAAGACACGATTATCCCTAGCAAAACGCTGAACAGAAAGCAAAGACGACGACAAGCCAGGGACATGCAAGACATCATTTAATCGAAAAAGCTTAGCAGAAGAGGCTATCGAAGCAGAACCAACACTAAGTATAGTCATACCTGTACCATTGCCAACCCGTAGAGTGTCAGAACCATCATAGCCAGCAGCGGAAGTCAACACCGAGGAGTAAGGAGTCGCATGATTCGTGGCACCCGTGTCAGGGAACCACTGATGAGAGTCAACAGGTCCACCCACATCTCCGGAATAAGTCATGTGAACCTGAGGACCGGGCGACTCAGAATACCTGCGATAGCAATTCAACGCAGAATGTCCCTGTTTAACACAAATCTGACAACAAACATCGGACCGGCCACGTCCACGACCACGACCTCCTCGGCCTCGGCCACCACCCGAGCCTCCACCGCCCGAGCCACTGCCCGAGCCGCCACGAACCTGCCCACCATGCACGCGACTGCCACGGCCTCGGCTCACTGCCATAGCCGCCGGCGAACCGGCTCCACCACCGCCAGCCGCACAGATCCATTCCTGAGAGGTAAGATAGTCCGAAAGCTCGGACAACGTCACCGGAGAGCCACGCGTCAACGGAGCAACGAGAGGACGAAGCTCCGGCCGCAACCCGCTAAAGACATAGATGTTCTGGTCATCAAGCGTGATCGGATGTCCGGCAAGCGCCAAATCTTCCACAAGCATCTGTGCACGGCCGAGGTAATCCGAGACGGAAGACTCCCCCTGCGACAGCGCCTGCAATTCGCCAAGAAGCCGCAGGGCACGAGACCGCGTTGCCGACCCTAGTTCCTGTTCAATAGCAAGCCACAACGCACGCGAAGTCAACCGGCCAACCACCATATGCATCATCTCATCAGACAACGATGAAATCAAAAGAGACAAGATGGCTTTATCCTATCTACGCCACTGATCAGAAGCCGAAGCCGACGCACCGGATGCCGCAACACCACTGCTCTCCGCCGTGGACTCCACCGGCGCTGCTCCCGTCGGACAGGCGAGCGTACCGTCAACAAAACCAAGCAGGCCCTGCCCTTCCAAGAATGGAAGCATTTGAGTCCTCCAAAAGAGATAGTTATGGACGGTAAGTTTAAGCGAAACAAAATGGTGAGCCGAAGAAAGGCTAGGGTTCGAGTGGATAGGGATGGGAGCAACCTCAGACACAGTCCGTTCGGAAGAATCACGAACAAAATCGTTATTATCATCTCCCAAGGTTGCCATGGAATAGTCCCGGATACTGATACCAGATGAGGATTTGATTATTGAATATCAATCGTAACTGAGTCTGTACAAACAATGATATAGAGAATAGATAAAGAGTCCTAACGAACTACCAGTACAAGAGTCCTAATAATATATAGGGGTCCGAATAAGAGCAGGACTCGAACTCAACAGACTACAATTAATGACTAATTATGGGTATTGAATATCTTTAATGATGTTCTAATTACTTTTCCGTTTGTTTCGCTTCCACGCTCTTGCCTTCCAATGGTCCATTTCAAGGTATTGAATTATTCCTTAACGATCTTCTGAGGACACTCCTTATTTGTTCACCCGATGCCAACTCCTCACACCACTCGATCCCGGACATCTACTTGCCGAGTTACTGGAACGACCCGGCTACTTATTTAGAGGGAAAGTCTCTTCTTCTTCTCAACTGGTGATCTCCGTCACCAGTTAACCAACCACCGTGACCGTTCGATTTCTTGGGTCCATATCCTATCCGTATCGATACAAATTGACACCTTAAAACTTTTCAATAATATAGTATCGATACAAATTGACACCTTAAAACTTTTCAATAATATAACAACCAACGAATAAGTAAATACGGAGTAATATTTAATATTAATATTAGGTAGTTGGTATACTAGATATTTAAAATGATATGACATCTTATGATGTAGTATAATCTTGTTAGATAATTAGTCAACAAAAAATGCTACATCGGACATAAAGCCATTGTCCTGCCTATGACTATTCTGTACTGATCCTTTTCTGAGTATTAAATGAATGTATAAGCATCAAATTTATGAATATATATTTATCATAAAAAATAAAAAAGAGTATACCTATTTTGCTGAAAAAACATTATGCAAAATGTAAAATGTTACAAATTTATTTACTATTGTGATTATTATGCAAAATTATATTGTGAATCAGTGTCCATATTGCACGATAAAATACTGATAAATGTTTATTTTTTAATATACCGAATACTAATTTTTAATATATACTATATGTTTATTTAAGATAGTATACTAAAATGAACTTACAGTACAATAAAAATAAATTTTAAGAAAATAACTAAAAATATTGAACACTAAAAATGAACATGTATGTCAATGGTCAACGGTATAATGATTGAGATTATTATAAATGGGTCTAGTTCAATGGTTTGAAGCAAAATTTGGACAAGTTCTATTACATGGACTTCCTAAATTTTACTTCATGATGTGACATGTATTGATAATTTTATTTTTTTTTTATGTGAGTCCTAGTACAAATGTTTACATTAAGATTGCATATATAACAATAAAAGTTTAGAATAAAAAAATAAGAATACACATAATATTTTTTAATTTCACAGTCCAAATTCAATATCCCAAGAAATGGAATACCACATAAACTCTTATTACTCATGAAAATATCACATCCTTATCTGTCATAGAACATTTTTTTTTTTCTTTTTCATTGTTTATAATAAGATTTCATCATTGCGCCAGATAGGGGTCAAACCTATGACTTTCTACTTAGGAAACAGATGCTCTATCCACTGAGCTACAAGCGCCATGTTAATGTAGTTTCTAAATATATAAATTTTGTGAGACTCATGAAAATATCACATCTTTATTTGTCGTAGAACATTTTGTTTTAAAAGGGTCAACATGTATATATATTGACACGAGCTCGAGCTCTTTTTTTTTTTTTTTTTTTTTAATTATATTGTTATATTTAATTTTTTGTATTTATAATAATACCAATAGGACTTCAGCATTGCGCCAGATAGGGGTCGAACCTATGACTTTCTACTTAGGAAACAGACGCTCTATCCACTGAGCTACAGGCGCCATGTTATTATATTTATGTAGCTTTTAAATATATAAATTTTATATACTACTACTATTCTTAATATTATGAAAAATTGAATTAAAAATAACTTAAGTCAAGCTTCATTAGCCAAATCAGACAAACAAAATGGGACAGAGAGAATACTTAATATACATACAATATTTTGCGCTAACACTAGTATTATGGCAATTTGAATCCACATTCAACACATGTACTTTTTTTTAAAAATGTATCAACACTAGCTCCCTAAATTATTATAAAAGTGACGATTATCCCCCTTTCTATTAAATGGATATTTTTACACTTAAAAATAATGGTAAAACAAGTATTTCATTTACTTTTATTCTCCAACAAATTATTGCTTATATATGATAATAAGAATAAATATGAAAAAGGATAGACACCATATGTAAATATTATAATTGTAATTTTAAACTAGTGCTAGTAACATGAGTAAGAATTAAACACAAATAATTCATTAATACTAATTTAAAATTAATGAATTATTTGTGTTTAAGTCTTTATTAGCAATAACTTAAATTTATAATTATAATATTTATAAATAGTATCTGCTATCTTTTTCTCATATATAAACAACAATTTATAATTTATTAGAAAACAAAAATAAATTAAATACTTATTTGTTTTATTTTTAAGGGTAAAAATATCTATTTTTATATAATGGAGGATAATAATCACTTTTAAAATAACAAATGGACTAATGTAGATGTATAAATAATTTAGGGGATGAAAAATAACTATAAGCATATAATTAATGTGAAAATTTGTCATTTTTTCATACAATTAACTGTCCTCACCCAAGACCTTCAAAAAAAAGTGTCCTCACCCAACAAATGATTCTATATTCTTATTTTAATACAAAGTACTTTTAAACCAGTTAGGTAATCTCAAATGTCACCATAATGTTTCCCCTTTTCCTTAGGAAAAAATAATAATTTATTGGTTGTAGGCCATTTGAGCTATTACATTGTAGTATCTGTTCATATACTTTCTCAACCTACTGAAACACAAAGAACCAATAACGCCTCCATTGAGGCTCGAACTCATAATCTTCCAAATGAAAGTCCAACCCGGGTACCATTAGACCACATAGTCCTGGTGCACATATTACAATTTATTTAGTGTTTATACAATAATAGTAAGAGACTCGTAAATTTAAAGTCCAAATTTTTTAAAATTATGATTGTCTTTTTTTTTAAAAAAAAAAAAATAAAATTATTATGATTGTAAATACTTTGTGAGTCAAAATTACTTGATTTTTATTTATTGGAATAAGGGTCAAATAGGCCATCGAACTGCACACAATAGTGCAATTAGGCCACTGAACTTAAAAAAGTTATAATTGAGTCCCTAAACTAACCTATTTGAAACAATTTGTCCAATTTACAAGTTTTCCCTCTTTCCAACAGGTCACCCAATTTAAAATATATTTTAAAAA